TGCGCGCAAAGAATTTGAGAATTTTAGGCACTTTCAGAGGATGCATTTGTCAAGGGGTGGGGAAAGATTTTCCAAAGATGGATATTTTTCCCTTGTCCCCCGGTGTTTTTAATTCTAATTTCGTTGGAATTGATCAACACTCCCTAAAATGTGCAATTTTTAGAGGAAATTGGGCCATGTTAACAAGAAATGCGCGCGAAATTTAAGGTTTTTAGGCACTTTCAGGGGATGAAAGGGCATTTATAAAGGGGTGGGGAAGATTTTTCAAAGATAGATATTTCCCCTTGTCCCCCAGTGGTTACGCCATCGGGCTGCATAGATCAAAGGAGTTATGACAATTTTTAAGTGGAGAATGGTTGCAGGGTGTTGTGAGTCTGGTCATTATGATATCTTCCTTTTTATTCTTGTCTTTATTTTTCTCTTCTCTTTTTCTTTCCCTCTTCTTTCTCTTTCCCTCCCTCTCCCCTCTTTCTTTTCTCTTATTACCCAGCCCGGTACGACGGCTTGGTCAGCCCGGTAAAAACCGTCAGGGGAGGGGCAGTTCCCCCCCCCCCCCCCCCCCCCCCCAACACTGGCTAACACGCCAATCATCCCCCCGCCAAAGAAAAATATTTTTCTACGCCACTGCACGTACTACGTCGTCGTACTCACGGGTAGTTTCGTAAACACAAAAAATATATAAACATCAGGTCTATTGTAAGGCTCCTCGAATTTGTAAACAAACTGGTAAGTTGCCGGTCATAACTAGAGCAATTTCTGATTCTTTTCAAATCATAAACTACACAAGAAATTAGAGTCTTGTTTATATGAATTCGCTGACTTATATTTGCTGGTATGGTATGTTCACAACACAGACTTCAACTTCAAACTTCAACTTTAATTTATTTAACGTGGTTCTAACATAGGCCTACAATTCAACAATAATGTATTAACTATTATGGGGAAAACCTAGTAGCGAGACCAACAGAAAGACGGACGGAGGCTTAAGCCGGGCACACACTGCGCACGCGATTTCCATGTACAACGCAGCCACGACGTGCACGCAACGGACTGTTTTTAATGACGATGCGTTCAGACTACTACGGACATTCAGCAGAGGATGTCGCGTCACCTAACGCTCACAGGGAGCGGAGATGGATTCGTCGTACGACGCCGTGAGTTTCAGCTTAGGATACGAAAACCCAGTTTTCTGCAGTGCCTACGTTATGTTACCGATTTGTTCCCAGTCGATAGACTACATAGTCCAATATTATGCTATACACTTCAAGGCCTGTGTTATATTTAATTATTTTTACAACTGCCTGAAGAACCACATAGGCCTAGTTAGTGTGTTTATTACTGATTTTCAATTGTCTTAGACGAACCCAAGCGTCACGGTGCGTATCCCTCTTTGCCAGAGTGCCGCCGCGTGCCGAGACCACTGAAATATACACAGTATTATAATTTATATTCCCTATTTGTTTTACAATTCTATTTGCGATGATACAACCGGCAGATCTATATTAGGCCTATCATTATATTAACAGATACTTCTACACGAAATGTTTTTTTAAATATCCCAGAAACGGATACCAAATATGTACCAATAGGTCTATAAATGCCGTAAAAGCTATGTACATCCAAAGCCAATGTAGGCCTACAAATTTTTTTAGCGAAGTACAGTATTTCCTTGGTAACCACACACACGCACACCATATTTGTTGCGGCCTTATCCCTATGAAGCCAGGCACACACTGCACCAGTCGCCCGACGCCGCGACGCGATTGCGGGCGATCGCAAAAAGACTAGGCGCGCACAAGGGTCGTTTTATGATAGGGACCACCGACAATCAGCAGCGCTCACAGAGAATGTCACCTGTCACGCCAGAATTGGTCCAGACAAAAACGGGCCCAGTGGACCGTTTTTTGGCTAATTGTCGCTAAAATTGGACAGTCAAACAGGCCGACGGTCGGCTGATAATACAGTATGTGCTGCTAAAGCCAGGTTTTCAAAAATCGCTACACCCGTGTTTCATTGCAATCGTTACACTGCGTAGTTGTCCCAGACGCATCAATCGTGAAGGCTCCACGATTTGATCGAGCAATCACCGTCGCCGAATGCTGTCGACGATACCGGTAACGTGTAGACATTTTATGGGAACAAGGCTTTACATGAAGTTACTTATTGAACCGTATCTGAGAACTGCGTGGCAATAACCTTTAATAATGATTCATTCATTTAGATTTTTACTTTCAGGAGACATTCACACAAATTACTCCAGGATTAGCTAATGGACTCTATCAAGAAGGATTGGACAGTATCAAACATCGGCTTGATATCAATTTAAATCACAAATGGCAATCCGAATTGCCATTTGTCAAAGCATACTACATGTCAATATGGAAGAGACCATACCTGCCATAGCCTTCACGGCTTTAAAAATTCTTTATTTTTACTAAATATACAGAAAAAATTTCAGTATTCCGTAACGATACCTGGTCTGCTTAAGCCTACCTTATCAGCAATTTCCGCACTCAATCCGAAACCTCTTGGTCGTGAAGCCATGGTTAAATTGTGCAGGCAAACAGCAAAGTTGTTTTAAAGGAAAAGTATATAATACTGCTCTGGTTCAATCGTAATACAAAATGAGACGAACTATTAATAATCAACTCATTTGTGAAATAATCGAAAGGTCCTGGTAGAATATTTATAGCCCTTCACATTTTTTTATGAATAATATTTATATTCAAAGTTAACTCTGACCTATGACGACAAAAAGGTGGCTCTTGTTAAGAGCCCATTTGGCATTAGTCCTATTGTTCTTGGTATCATTATGAAGGCCGGCGCCATCTGGAACTGTGTGATTCCATAATTTTACGATCTTTTGAGAAGTCTGGCATAGGCTTACATTCTTATGGCATAGGCTTACATTCTTAACAAATCCAGCTCATTTAGTTAGTAGGCCTATTTTCTAAATATTTGGTAATTTTATCAAATCTTTTCAAGCAAAAGGAATGCTGACTACTGGCGTCAATGGGTAAATCTGCATTTGCAAACCAAAATTCCGACCACGTTTCCGAAGCGCTGAACGCCAGCGTCCCTATTCTTACAAACTGATTCGATTCTCAGGGGCGGATCCAGAAATTTTCTGACGTGCGGAAGGGGGATAATGGCATTCATTCAGACTTAAAATTTGAATATATCTCCATATTAAAAAAAAATTGACACAAATGTACTGGGGGTGAAATGTCTGGCTGGCTGGGTATCCTGGCCGACTGGGCATCCGAACCCACTGGATTAAAATGATATATGTACTACAGTCTCTCAGAGACACATTATGCTATTATGTATCAACAAACCCCTTATTTGGATCATGGTGCTGCAGAGCGAGGACCCTACTGCTGGACCCTATGGGTGAGCGCATAGGCGTTAATCCACTGAGCATATATAGCTGTTGTTCTATAGATGAGTACCGGTACTCTACATTCCGTAATAATGGCTAAAAAACTAGTTTTAGGTGTCCGTCTTTTGGCATTTTTACATCCTCATTTATGTCAATCAATAGAAAATTCAAAATTAGTGAGTGGTAAAATAATGGAACTCTCAAGTTTTCCACGCATTTTTCGGCGGCATTGACCGGGGGGAGGGTGGGTGTTCTGATCGGTTCGGTAGGATCTTCCGATTTGAAAATTCGGATTCGGTGTGAATACAGCTTTATCCTTGTATATCGCAATCCTGTGGGATAATAATCTCCCTGTGACAACATACGCCACGTATCCACGATGAAGGTAAATTATGTTAGAGTGCCTTTAAATTTTACGAGACCATTATTGTGGTATTAAGGTTAGGCCTATCAGTAGCCTACTAAACCTCGCTCATTTTATGATCACATGAATATCCGTTATTTTAGTAATAAATCGAATACTGTACTGTAGTCATTCCTCGTACAAGATTTTTTTTTCTCAAAAGGATTCTGATTAGCCATTAAAAATGTGTCTCTATCACTAAACATTATAATATTGGAGATGTTAGTAAACTTTACGATGGTATTGACAAAAATTTAAATTCCTGTACAAACAAAAGACGCTCATCACTAACGGAGAGTCTAAACATTACTATGGCCCCCAATTCATTATAAATTCTACATACAGCCCCCCTCTTAAGGGAATTCAAGTCAATATACATTATTCAACAATGGCTAAGGAAAACAACACAAGTTCTTGTTAGTAGGGTATCTAGGGGATGCGGGGGGGGGGGGGGAGTGCACACGCACTACAATAATATTTTTTTAGCCAAGCTCCGGAGGAAAACATTTTTTTAATATGTTGCGGAACTGATTTTTCACAAAAAAACATATTTGACGAAAAACTCGGAAACGGTTAATGAGATACAGTTTTTGAATATTTAAACACTGGGGGTAAATGGTGGTTACGCCCCTTTCCCCCATTTTTTAGGTGGTGTAAACCCTCGCGCACCTCCTACCTCTAATAGGCTGCATCCCCCAGCCACTGTGATCAGTATTTCCAATTCATGACCTTTGCTTTGGATCGATGATCAACGGTCGACCTATCTTAGTTACGACCTGCATTTTTTAAGTTATGTCTGGGGGTAAATATTTTATTTAGGCCTACCATTTCTTTGAAAGAACTAAACACTAAAATAAATATGTGTCACATTGCCTACATAACGAGCTATTTAAGTTATACCAAACAGGTCGGTCAATCATGTTTGACCTTACTATATTAAATACATATTTCACCAATCACAGAATCACAAATATCTGTGATTGAATCACAGATACTTTATATACCTGACATAACTACAGTCATAGCCTCTCGCCGTATAGCCTACCTTATTCGAAAGGTCTGCAGTCATTCCGTAACCTTTTGGTCGTTCAGCCATGTTAAAATCCGTTCGTAAACAGCAGTTTCTTGGAAATCAAAAATACACTGCTCCCCGGTTCGATTGGAACACAAAATGACCACCTATCAATAATCAATTCTTATATACTGTAGTCCTACGTCAATACAATCGGAAAGTCGTCGTTGGGTAAATTTGGTGGTATGGTGCGCCATAAGGGAAAGTTAAAAGCAAAAAATACCTTTTACCAAATTGGTCCACCCTCTGTTGATGTTACCAACACATGGGCATTTTATTAATGTTATATTTTGAAGTGGTTTTAAGTAAAACTATTGCTAAGAAGATAAAATCGATAAGCATTTTAATTATTTAGGTATTATGTTTTTTATATATGTTAACGCCATACATGTATTTTTCAGGAAGTTAAAACGGAAGAAGGAGGATCTCATTGTGTTGCTGAGCATTGTATTATTAGGGTGCTTGTGGTAATTACTTGAAGGTCTAAGCTCTTAACCTTTTTGGTTCACAGACTCCTATGTTCAATATTAACAATGACTATGTATCTGACCCCGAGCCCAAACCGCAGAGATTACAAGTTAGTCAGGGCGTCAGACTTTAAACAAAAACACACTCTCCGCCCGGCGATTTTTTTTCTTTTTCTTCAAGCTGCCCGGAAATGCATTCTTTGCCATGTTTTAGGGTAGCATTTTTACAACTAAAATTCTTTCCGGAATCTGCTTTCATTTTCTTGAGAATACATAATAAGACTTAGTTCGGTACATGATCAAAACCAAGCTCCCTGCCTTAATTTTTAGTAATATCTACACTTTCTTGGCCTAGCGCGCTCGCACATGGCGTTTAAAAATTGAATAAAAATAGAAAAAATATAGTTTCTTCACTTTTTATTTTTGTTGTCAATTCCTAATATATGTATGTCGTTTCAGCCAGGTCCAATGCAACATTGCAAGGGCTCTAATATTCGTGCAGCGAAATCAAATATTACATGTCGTTTTAAAGGACCTATTATATCATTAGCATGGTAACATCAATGTGTTTTTCAAAATCAGACACCCCCCACACTTCACCTTCGCCCCCCCCCCCATTTCATGATCATCAGTGTTGAATTTCGGTCCAAGATTGGGCTGAATCCAGGAGGTATTAAACGGCTGAACTGTCTGCTTGGCCGAGTTGCCAAACATTTTGGGCCGAGTTAGCTTGGGCTGAGAATATATAGGAGGAGGGGGGGGGGGCGAGCCGACCCCAATCCACTTTTGAAAAAAAAAAAAAAAGAAAAAAAAAAATGAAATTATTGATCATTCAAAACGCTTCAGGGGTTATTTCCGGCGTCTAATAGGCCTACAAAAATTTCCCAGGGGCATGCCGGACCACCTAGGGTATAGGCTAGTGTTGTCTATAGATCGCCCCCTCCCACCTTTTGGACATCTCTGGATCCGCCGCTGAAAAGCATATACTGTGCTTTTGAAAACATGATGGGTGAGTGAGGGAGGAGCCGTATTTATATATTATAGGGCCTTAATTAAAAGGTAAAATATTGGAAGACAACAATGCTGTGGAAAAACACTTGATGGGATAGCTAGGCCTATTAGTTAAAATAATAAATAAAATGAAATGAAGGATTAAGCATCACATCTCCACAATCCTCCGTCGTCCGACACCACGACGAAATCGTCGGACCAAAAATAATAATTTGCCTATCCAAATAACGTTATTTTGATTTCCAATCCTTATTATTGTGGTAGATAAAAGCACTATTTGGGCCACACAAGCTCTAAAAAACAAAAAAAAACAAAAAAAAAACTCCCCCGGCGAACACTTTTAGGATTTTTTTTAGGCCTGGACACTGTTTACTCTATTATAATTCCATTTTTGGAGTGTCTGCTCCCGCCGCCAAAACTCCGTTTTTTGAGGGTTTGCGTACTATACGCGAAAACTCCAAAATCGTAGTTTTCAAACTTTTAATCCAACCTCCGATTTCGGATGTTTTGCTTACTATACGCGGAAAATCCAAAATCGGAGTTAGCCGAATTGTTAATCAAGTTTGATTAATAGAATAGAACAAAAAGAATAATTAAACTACAATAAATAGGCCTACTCAAAGTCGTCGCAATTCTGGCCGGCCCTGGGCTGACATTGGCCCACCACTTTATAGGCCTACAGGTGCAGTCATGGTAAGAGAGTGTTTATCGTGAATTTTATGATGCTGTTGTTAATGTTTCATTTTGTTTGAATCATTCTTAGCAGACCTAAAATGTTTCCAGTGTTTTCTTTATGATGTGATTTTAATTAATCTAAGCTAGAATAACTTATTGAATAGGCAAGCTGACGTCAAGAGACCAGACATTGTGTATTTGATTATACAGTAGGCCTACCATTATTAGGTAGTACCTCCGGTGTATTCGTATTGTTGGAAGTCTCCCAAATATTGGTCGAAAGATAAGTGAAAGTCACAAATTGGTTTATTACATGCCTACATTAATTTATCAAAACATTTGAGAGTGGGTATCCAATACAAAATGGTCCTCCTGAGAAGTTCCTCGGATGTTCCTTATGTATTGTGGGGATTTAGGTGTTATTCCCACTGGTCTTTTAGCCATTTTAATCTCTTATCTAAAGTATTTAACAATTAGTCAGTAATTTTTTGGCTGCTGTCGTGGGGCGGGGCTAGGCAGTTCCTCTTTCGACACCCTGGATCACCACGGAACCACTGAATGAGCTAGATGGCGCCGTGGCTGCACTGTTTGTGACGAATCAATTTGTTTACATACTGCCCTCTTGAGGAATGTTTTATTATTAAACCCAAGAACCCCAAGGCATCGCGAATCGCGATGATGTGATGGTGTAGGCCTAGGAATATAGAAGGTTCGTTGTTGGGTGCTTTGGTTGTTGATTAATGCTCGAAATTACTAAACTTTAAAATATAGCTGATTACTAATTATTGTACAATGATGCATATCGTTTTATTCTGAGGGAATGCAGTTTGAAAGACGATGTAAGGCGTTACATTGACTTATCTAAAGCTAGCCTGGTTCGCAAAATAACAAAAGCTACTTTTGTGCTGCTGCTGGGCCTTGCGGAGTTACGCAGGGATTTATTGTCAAGATGGCGGCGATGAGGCTAAACATTTTAACAAATATGTTGTTGACATCATTTATGATTTTGATCTTTATTGAAGCTGGTGAAACTAAGAAATCTATTCAATTGTACAATACTAGTGTTAATACTTATTCAATTCCTTTGGGCCATGATATATATCAGAACTTGGGTGGTGGTAGCAATTCTAAGTCTAAAAAGCCAAACGAAAGTAAGGAGAAAGTTGACAGTTCGTCAGACGCTGAAATCTCTTCGAAACTTCTACGCGAAGCAGGGGTACTGGCAAACAAATTTAAGGACATTGTAGATACTGAGTTAGCATATAAATCAATGCAGGTAAAAATACATTTTGTTGTTTTTTTTTTAGTTAATATACACAGTATTGGTATTCTGACTTGCCGCTGGTTGAATTGTGGTTCGTTTTTATATCAACATAATTATAATAAATCAAATCATTTTATTTAAATTGTCATGGAGGCTTAATTTATATGAAACCAGCCAATACGAGTGGATGCCACTTCGAGCGAATGCTAGTTTGAGCGGATGTCACTTCGAGCGGTTTTCATTCTGAGCGAAAAATGATGCAGTTTTGCGATTATTTGACATGTGCGATTTTCTTATTTTGAATGATCATTTTAATTTGATAATTTTCGCCATTTTCAGATTTAAATTTGCTATAATTTAGCTGTTTAGTCGTACACATATTTGGCAGTGGCGTATCTTTGGGAACACCTTTCCTGAGAAAAGCTTGCCCCCCCCCCCCCCTTCTCTCCCCCAATCGCCGCTCCATTGAAAATGTCCATTAAAAAGAAATCATGCTCATGCCATTAAAAAATCACCTGATATCATGTTAAATTGTGAGCTAGTGCCCTGTCACTTAATTATCGAGCACCCCATTTCACCTTCACGCACCCATCAGCTCCCCTTCCCCTGTTAAAGATGCTAGGACCTACACCCCTACACCCCTGAAATGAATGAACTAAATATTTGACTTAATATTTTGTATCTAATGAAGGGGGCGAGCTGGTGATCGGATTTGCCAATCTTACAACGTGGAATAATTATTACAAGTACCAAAACCTTTCAAAATCCTTAGTTACACAGCGCATTTTAGCTCATTAAAATAAATAATTATTATCTTGTATCTTGTACTCTATTTATTTTGGGTAAATTTGCCCTTGTTATAGTTCACACTAAATACATCCGCTCGAACTGGCATCCGCTTGAACTAGCATTTGCACAGAAATCCTACTGATGCATTGGAAGCGGTTGGCGCATCGGTTGTGGCTTGGACTCCCAACCTCGAGGTCGGGGGTTCGAAACTCTCGTTGTACAAATCGCTTGTGTCCTTGGGCAAGGCACTTTATCTACAACGGTTGCCTCTCTCCACCCAGGAGTACAAGTGGGTACCTGGTAGGTTCGAACACAACTGCGCTGATTACTAGCTGCAATATTTACTAGCTGCAATATTATGGAATTCTCCCCAGGGAGCTGAGTATGTGTTCGATCCAATGACCGGGGTTGTAATGTGAAGCGCTTAGAGGCATTGTGCAGAAGCGCTATATAAGAGCGACATATTATTATTATTATTATCTAGTAATGCATAGTTTTTGTAACTCATATTTCTTTTTGTCATTTGTTATTGTGTTGTTTGCTATGAATATGTGATTATGAAATAAAAGTTGAATTGAATTATATTAGCGAGATTGAAGTTTAATATTAGGATCAAGCCAGTTCCACCAATCAACACCTCTATTTTGTGTATTAACGTCAGAACAATACTGTATCCCTCCCTTCCCGACCCTGAAAGTTTTTGGTAGCTGGATGGTAAACAAGTAATTTTTGTACATGGTCTCATTAATTTTCAACTGACTGCTTTACTTGCGTAAATTTATATCTAATTATAAGAAATGTTTAAATTTTAATGTTTATTACCTCAAAGTGGTACGCCAAGCAATAAATCGGCATGTCTCAATCCGGCATGGGGTCAATTACAGTGAAAATGTAATCAATTAAAGTGATTCAACGCATTCACATTAAATGAATTTTATTCAGGACAGGATAAGAGCCCAAGTGGCTGTCCAAAATGACCGAGACTCAACAAGGGTAGTGCTGACCAGGGTTCACTTAGAAGAATCCCTGGTTAACGACAAGGGCTAATCCACAATAATACTCCAGTATGTGTGCTGGCTTGGCTCGGCCGGGAACTTTCATCTTATTTATTTTATTTCTTTGTCTTTCGCATTTTCATTTATTTCTACAGTACAGCTCTTTTTACAGTGCATAGAGACTTTCTGTATTTTGCACTTAACAAATTTAAAACCATTAAACCATTTAATCAACTTTCAGGGGAACAAGACAAAATTTAGGAAAACAAATTTAAATGAAACAAGCTTCTTGTCTTCAACAGCGTAGTTTATTGATGATATTTTTTCCCAAGCAATAACAATTTTAGATTTTATACAGATTGCAGTTCGTCTCAAGACATTTTCCAGTGTGAATAAATTCTGCTGTAATTGCAAATATTGCTTATTGGTAGTTAACGTTCATAGCCAAAGTTAATTACATAGTTATTAAATACTGCAGTGAATATAGTGAGTTTCATCTTGTCAAAAAATAATATTTTAGTTTATGTATACAGGGGTATTGGAACAATTTAATCCAAAGGCCTGTATTTAAAAAAAACAGTTAAAGGAAATTTAGAAATTTTTAATAAATTTTGTGTAAAAAGCAATATAGATGTGATTTCCAGAATTTATAAAGACAAATAAATACTACTATTAGTACTACTGTAGACAAATGTACTGTATTGTTATTGCTATTAATATTATCATCATTGTTGTAATTATGTACAGTAACAATATTATTTACATTATTTATATCTATAGATTAAATACAATTATTTAATTAATCTTGATGATTGACAGATTTGTTTTTTAATTTGCATCATCCTAAATTTCAATGTTTTTAATTAATGTTGTTCAATTATAATTATGTTTCTTGTTTTTATGGGTATTTTTTTTGATATGAAAAAATTAATAAATCAAGTATGACATTGATAGAATAAATTGTCAAAAATAGTTTTCTTCACAATTAATATGTTTTCTTCTTTTTTTTTATCACACTAAACCTGGTACAGTTTCATTTTTGAATATTTTTTTTTTGTGGGTTGGGGATAGGGGAGAGAAAGAACCATACCATACAGTATTTTTGAACCCTGCTGGAAAAATACACCAGGAGTTCTTCTACTAACTAGAGATTAATTCCCATGTCATATTCCTGTCTGTCAAATAGAAAAAAAAAACACCTCTCTCTCTCTCTCTCTCTCTCTCTCTCTCTTTGACCCTAGAAAATAGACAGAATGTATGTGCTACATGCATATTAATTCCCATGTCATATTTGACAGACTTCTGGTTACTTGATGTGGATATTGATGACTTCAATAGTTAAATAACCCAGTGATATGTAAGGCTTACTGTATGCATTACAGTAGTTGGCAACTTTTTCCATTGAGAATAACCTAGGAGATGACAAACCCTCAATTGATGTTACATAATCAAACAATGGCACAAAAGAGGGCCTAATCCAATCCCATGGCTTTTGTATTATTGTTGTCCCAGTTTGGGAGATTTTGTTCATGACTTTAAACCATATTTAAAAGAAATGCTGTATAGATACAAGAAGATACAAGAAGAATTACACTTAGTTGAGAATAGCCTTCTGCCTAATACTAAGATGTTAGAGAGATAGTTTAGGCTTGGAGGTCATTTCCAATAAACTTGTATTTTATTGCATGTTGATATGCATCAGAATGTGGAAAGAGAAGCTATCTGAAAATGGAACAGTTGATATTCCTTGCGAATGCTTCAATACATGATAGTTCTGTTTTTCTGCAATACTTTATATAAACATGTAACTATAAAATTGACTTAAATTAAAATTGGCATAAAATTTAAATCCAATTGACTACAGTACCTATTTGGATAGAATACTGTACCTTTCACCAGGTACTACAGTGTTCTGCAATAAAAATTCTGAGGACAAGATGTTAATAATGTCTAATCTAAATATGCCAGGCCTTGTTTTCGACCACAAATTGTTTTTAAAAATTATTTTGACTGCTAGACATAAAAGCTTAAAAATGGTCCAAAATTTCTCAATTTCTTTGGGCGGGGCACCAAGAATAAAGCCCCTGGCCTGGCTTCAACCAAAAAATATTAGAAACTTGAGTTACCTACAGTAGTAGAGCAACCAATGTTTCCACTGTCGGCATTGAATTTTTTTTAAAGATTCATTATCTTATATCACCAAAAGATTGAAAACTTCTACAGTACACAAACAAGGTTGCAGTCATTCTTGGACTAATACTATGAATTAATATTTATATATGCCACAAAATTTCGGCCATGTCAACAATGAGAAAAGACTTATTAAATCAATGAAGTTAATTTAGAGGAGTAAACCTTGCGTTAGCTTCAGGTTCAGTTTTCTGTATCTGAAATCAAGTCATCAGGAATCAAATTGGTATTGATTTGTTAGATGACTAAGTACAGTACATTTATGACGATATGAAATTTTGCCATCATTTTCAAGGATTTAAGGGGTGGGAGGGGAGGCTGGTTGGCCCTCTCCCACCCACTTTGAATCTGCCTATGCACACATTTTAAATAAATGGAGGAAAAAAGAAAATTATATTCAAAAATAAGTCTGAGAATGCCATTTTCAGCCATCTGGAGGTGCCATAGTCATAAATAGGTGGTACTGTATATGTCAGACCTTTCATCTGTGACTGAAAATGTCCTTCCTGGGACCACTTTATTTCAAATTCCGAGATCCAGTCACTGGTATGAAATATATTTTTTTCATGTTACCCCTCTGTCTCCATGAAAATCTCACTAATACTGTATGATTGTTTTCTTTTAAAAGAATTTTGACTCTTAATACATGGATTTTATTTGTACAGTAGTCCGCATCCCCTAGGCTTAGATCAATAGAATAAAATGTACCATATTTCTGGCAATTCATTATTCTTCATAAACTGCATGAAATATCCAATGAGAAAAGAGTAATTCCAGCTCAAATCAACTACTGTGCCCATGTGACCTCCTTTTTCCTTTTAAAAATTCTTGATTGAAGCTGAAATTTTGGATTCTTTCTTTTGACATAGAATTTTTTGAAGGAATATCCAAAGGGAGAGGGGGTGGGGGTCACAGGGGTACTTTTAAATTTCTGGCAGATTTGAGCCAGAATGACCTAAAACTATTAACAGTATATATATAGAGTGGAAGAGATTGTGGGAAAAAAATTGGACCCTTCCTCTTTTCAGTCATTGTGTAAGATAAGAAAATTAAAATAGTCTACTTTAAATTTTGAAAAATTCTCAATCATCTTTTTCCAGTGTTAATTTTACATACTTTTTCTTTCATGAATTGTTAATATGTTTTGATTCTTTGCTACACTATGTACAAGCTTTAATGCTGAACATTTATGGCTTTCAAAAAATTGTAAATCTATTAAGTCTTTAAGTTAGAAAGGAATGCTATTTAGATCCCTTAACCTTACCTTTAATTGCAAGCCTAGATTCACAAATAGCTTGAGTTAATTCATCGGAAATCACTCAGCCTGGTTGCTCGTAGCAACGCGCATCAAGCACTTAACCAAAGTTACATGAAAAAATTGAAAGTATTAGAAAGTTGTCGATGGTTTATGGCACCTTGTGAATGTTAACGGACAGCTGCTAACTCTGTTATGAACTCGGAAATCTCCAGCAATGTAAAATTGCAGATCTGTGTGAACAACCACGTTTCAATGTGATTTATTCCCACTGTAATTCCACCCTAGTCTGCACAAATTTTGATTGGTGTTTTCATAGGTTAATTGAATTTATTCCTGCATATTACTAATAGCTACTATGCCTAATCCATAGAATAACTCCTCAGTTTTATTATGCAAAATATATCAAGTTGTTTGTGACCACATAACAAAACATTTTTAATACTGTGTGCATGTAATGAAGACAAAAATGAACAGATTAAAGCGCTGTGCACATTGCAGTGTTTAAATGCGATTTCATTATCCGAAAAAGGTATTTAAAAACTTTTTTAAATGATCAGTCATTAGTGAAACACTATTAAAATTACATTCCTAATTTATGCATACAACTGTAGAAATAACGTGCGTCTACTATCAAGCATATTCATTTAATGAATTTCAACTTTGATACAGCAAGTACTATTATTTTCTTCAGTTCGGAAAATGGAACACGGCAATTCCCTTTAGCGGCAGTGAGCCCGGACAGTTTTCAATGATGGAAGAAAAATTTTATCCAATTACAGTAGATTAATTTTTACATATAACTTATCACAAGAAAATTTAATCGGGTTAGTGTAGGCAAAGTTATGACATTGTAAAGAAACGACTCCTCGTAAGCCAGCTCAAATCCCGCTGAAAACACACTAATATCACCTATATTTTCATAATTCAACCCAAAAATGATGGGGGGAGGGAGGGAGAATATTTGAAAACAAATATTTTGAAATTGTTTTGCAATGTTTATATTTATAACCTTCTGTGAACCGTTTCAACATACTTTATTCGACCTAGTTTTTGAGTTACAGTTTTTGTATTAAAATCGAGCGATGTTTTTGAGGAAGCACTAATGGTTAAGAGATAGGGTGATTTTCACGGCGGCGCGTTTGCAGTAGAGTAGACCAGACAAATTAATACCGTATGAATATTCCAGCAATTTCCATTTTAGTGCCTTACACTATATAGGTGTCGAATGATTGTTTTTTTTGTAAAACATATTAAATGGAATGATATCAAAGTATAATCTTGAAAATAGTTAAGCCAGCATACAGTATTGCCGGTATATTGCTGTCAATCTAGGGACAGGACCCATACTGTAGCAGAGAGTTTATTCTGTTTCCAGATCAGGCAGGATAAAAAGGCGAAACTTTTTTTATAACTTGTTTAGCGAACCCGCCGACAGCAAATATTGAAGATTCAGATTAAAATCAAATTTTATTTTTGGCCAATTAGCGCACCTGCTGTCATGAAAAATGAAAGTTTTCTTTTTTTTTTTTTTATTATGCCTTCTGCTGCCTTGAAATCTCCAAAGATAAGATATGTATATTTCTTCCTAATTTTATAAATTTGAAGCATTTTTTAACCATCCTATTTTACATTCACCAGTAAAATTTTATTTTTATTTTCTTCACCGTCTGGATGTTTTTGGCAGAACTATTTGCTAAATAAAAAAACAAAATTTTATTTTTATTTTTATTCCACACTCCTCCGATGATCTTTAAAAAAATAAGTACGCAAAACAAAGAATAAAAAAAGTCTTGCCTAACTGTGATGTATTAACAATTACTAGCATAAAGTGCATTTCTTTTAGGTCACCTTTCCCATGGGATTACAACATGACTAGCTTTGCCTTTGGGTATTACCAATTATGTTTGGAATAATTATGTGCAAGTTTTTACCTGCACCCCTTAGGAAATATTAGTGATCTTGTTTGAGATTGAAATTCACTCTACAGTACATTATGTGAATGAATTAGCCTTTTAACCTCAAATGATCTCAATGTTAAACTTTAGACATTCGTTTTTCCCACGTTTTACTGTTTCCCTAACTAAAGCAGCAAACTACAGTAATCCTTAATATTGAAAATTTATATTAGTACAGTAGATGACTATAGGGTGTTATTATACGTTGTTATGGTATTATTGTACATGGGATATACTGTTTAACACAATATAGTACCATATTTATACATTACATATTAATTAAATGTGCATATTATAGGTAATAATAGTTTGATGCCCCAGGGAGCTGGCTATTTGTCTGTTATTTGTATAGTAGTAGAATTTCAATAATTATGTGGTGACAGTACAGATAATTATGTATGAGAACAGATTTGAAAACTAGTGCTGTGTACATAAATTCAAACTATTGAAAACACACCGTAAAACCTTATTATAGAAGTACAATGGGCTTAATCTCGACAAAAAGTCAATCTCGAATTGAAGCCCCCTCTTTAGCTTGCAAAAATTGCCTAAAAAAAAAGACCATCCAAAGTTTTTGCAAAAAAAAAAGGAGCAGCCCAGGTCTTCTATTTAAGGTTTTTGCAGTACTGTAGTCTACTTCATGAATGAGTAAACCAACTAAAACTGCCTATTTTCTTAATTGCATTTTAGAGCATTTTAATCTTATTATATGAAGATGATGAATCTTTTGTATTCTACAGTAAACCAAATAAAAAAAAAAAAAAACCAAAAAAAACAAAAAAAAAACAAAACACCATTCAAAAATCTAATTCACAGTACCACATTACTCATATGAAAATACATAAATGTCTGCATAATTGAGGGAAATTATAACATGCTACAATAAATCAAAGATGTTTTTGCAAATGCTCGTCAACAGTTGAGTTTGGGTCATTAGCACATAGAATCTCTGGACCTTGGGAACAGGATTACTGATTAACGAGTATGTTGTGCGTATAATCGCAACTGATGTTTTATGTTTTTTTCAGTGCAAGCTATTAACAAAAATTAGAATAAATATCATATTCATGTCCATGGCAATGCTGAGTAGTTGAAATTTGCATGTTGATGTTTTCGGTGGTCAGCTGAGGGAAAGTGGTACCACATACTTGTAAGATAATCGCTGAATTCAGTGTATATAGCACCAGTTGCTCGTTTGATAAGTGGCCAATACCATTTAGTCTATTTTGCGAATACTAACTAACCAACTAATTGCCTATTCTCTCTCAAAACGAGAACACCCCTTGAAATCTAAATAGAACAGTCGGATGTCCGTAACATGCAAATTTTCTGTTGAAATGAAGCTACTCGCATTCTGTTAGTGTGAATGAATGCAGTTTTAAATGTGGGGAAGTAAGATTTTGATGAACAAATGCCCATTAAATGGTATTATTTGGAAGATTTGGCTCTGTTTTTAGTAAGACCATAAAGAGTAGCAAAAAGTATGAATTCTGACGGTGAAACAAGGTCGTCTTATATGCCCGACATACAAAAATCATCCAAAAATCTTTCCAAACTCAGGGGTTATCTTATATGCAGATTGCCTTATATGCGAGTATGTACATTAGATTTAATGTCAATTTGAATTATGTGAATTTCTGTATTTTATAGTAGTACAAATATAAAACCTTTCTAAATGAAGATATTTGAAATTCATGAAAAGAAAATATATATTTATTTCTTTGATATTATTCTGTTTCAGAGAGTCTACGATTCCGTGGAGTATGTAGATGGAGCTTTAACGGAATCAGAACAGTTACAAGAGGTAAGACTCATGTTGAAAATTAATTTTGACTTCCTCCTATCCTCTTATTGTACACTAAGTGAAGACATCTAAAGTACTGTAAATCATAGGCATTAAAAGCCTTCCCAACTGATTTACAATTTTATAAAGGTTAAAGGCCTTATCAAAGAAAATTAATCACCATTGAGTAGGTGAAGGTTTTTTATTTGCTTTCTCATGCATACTGTAGTACTTACGTGCATGGTAGTCTGGGTACTCCCGTACCCTTAACATGTGCTCTAGGTTTTACACTCGTTCAACAATCTACCCCTCTCCATCAGCAACAATGTAAAGGCAAACTGTGTCTGAATACTGTATCCTGTGGAGGTGGTTTGGCGCAGGAGAAACAGTTTGGTTTCCCAACCTTGAGGTCGGGGTTTTAATCCCTCGCTGTCCATATCACTTGGCCAAGGCACTTTATCTACATTGATTCTCTACACCCAGAGGTGACGGAACTAGGGGGTGCTGTGTTATGGAGAGTAATGTGTGACCGGAAATGATCTGCAGTCAGTTGGTTGTTACCATGCGCCAGTGATGTTGGAGTATAGTACAGCAACATGAAAACTATTATGTAGGCCTAATGAATGAATAAAGTTCGGAGTTTGTCGGGTAGTGAAATGATTATTTCACATTTTAAGTGCTCCCTAAGTTCATAAGTGTAAGCTTAATTACGGTGATTAATTTAATTATCGAAGATATGGAGACAATTATTTCGAATCCCTCTTTCCAAGAGGGGATGCAAATGCTTTGTGAAAATGAGTACGCTGCGGTACTCATTTTCACAAAGAAATACACACAACTGGTTAGCTAACAATTATGTCAATGTTACATGAACACCTGGGAAGGAAGGTGCAATCACGTTGTTACCTAGCAAACGTCTGTACTGATGTAGTGGGGGACGATGAGGCATAAGACTAGGCCTTGCCTAACTAAGACAGTGGAATTATATGTCATAGAAAGTACACTTTCGGAAGAAATAAATTAATTAATAAGAAAAAAAAAAGTAACTAAGAATAATTCATTTGCAGAGGTACCTTATTTAAGTATTATA